TTTAATTTCACATATTTTTAGTCAAATTCCTAGCTCCGCCTATGCATTCATTTCAAAGTTAAAAACAAATACAAGGACTAGTTTTGTTATTTGTATTAAGATTTTAATATATATGATGTGTAAAAAGTAAATTTTTATTTACAGACTTAGTAAGTGTTTGGCCACCCACTAGTCGCAAGATTACATAGGATATGTTATTTTTGTTATTATATATACTTACAAGTATAATATCTTTATACCTAACATAATTTTTCGATGTCGATCGGGAGCACTTTTACTCGAACATTTTAGACAGGTAAATTCGGCTACATTTTTGTGGAACTAAATTTGACACTTCAGTAGAGCTAACGACGGATGGAAACTATTAGGGTCTATTTGGAAAGCCACCAGGTAATTGAAATTGGTGTAATTACTAGGTTACTAATTACCAGCCTAGTAATTACACTGACATGTTTGGTTGCCACAGTGTAATTACACATGTCTTGTTTGGATGCCACAGTGTAATTACACATGTTCTGTTTGGATGCACAATTGCAATCATAAAATTATAATAAATTTTAAAAATAAAAATTAATCATTTAAAATTTATACTAGACAAATAAGAAATTTTATAAATGACATTAAATTAAATATTTAAGATATATATTCTTTTTTGAAAATATATTAATTAATAAACATATTTACTGTAACTAATATTATGAAAAAATAATTGATTTATATTTTTTCAAATTAATATATTTCAATTGAATTGATCGTAACAACTAAAAGTATGAAGTTTCTACGAACATTGTGAAATGCATGTTTGATAAAAAGAATAGTAATATATAAATAAAATATCATAAATTATTAAATGTTTGACAAAAATATAATCTATCAAGTCTAATTAAAAAATGACGTGCAATGTAAATTCAATATTACTAAAACAAATGAAACTGAAAATATAACATAAGTTATAAATTCAAAACAAAAAATTTAACATAATACTCTTATAACAAATTTCAACATAGCAATAAATATGATTTATTTTTATTTCTTCATAATAAAGAAAACGTAAGTCTATAACCTTACTTAACAATAAATTCTATTTTAATTTAAAAATTAGAATATAAATAAAATTATGCTAATGAGAAAACAAACATGGCATAAAGAAATAGATAATACGAGAAAATTCCATAGAATCACGTAAAGTAAGGTTGAGAACAAGAATAAAATGAAATATAATAATAAAAAATAAAAAATAGACTTTTACAAATTTTTAGAATAATAAAAATTAAAACAAAAAAAATTAAAATAGAAATTTAAAAAAATGAAAAAGTAATCAGGTGGTAATTGGACCATGTAATTACCAGCAATTCACAACCTCTGTCTGTGAATTGTAGAGTGTAATTACCTCCTGCCAATTACACCAATTACCTACTGACCAAGTAATTACATATCCTTCCAAACAGGATAAGATAGTGCAATTACACCAATTACACCAAACCAAATCAAATTACCAGGGTGTACTTCCAAACAGGCCCTTACCGGCTTTTGGAGACTTATAAAGTCATCAACATGAAAATAGCAATTCCTTGGTCAAAAGAGATTACTTTCTCTGGTAACAGTCAAAGAATATGAATCCTTAAACAAATCTGGTAAAGTACACTGAAAAAAAAGGCTGCACTGACAGAAACCACATGGGAATTCATTGGACAAGACCAGCTTATTAATGTTCATTACTCAGAATTATATCTCTTACACATCCTCAAGGACTTAAAAATCATAAATTACAACTGGTTATTAACATATTCTCAGGCGAAGAATCATAGTTTAGTCTTTACCTGAGTCCTTATCACATATTTATAGGCATCTGGTGGAACAATATAATATTTGCGCGCTCGTGACTTCCATCGGATGTTAGTTTTTTTCCTAATCCAGTCTTATCAGAAGATGCTCAACTTGAACTTCCTTTGTCAATGGCATTGAACAAAAGTGGGCAATATCACGTCTCTTCCTGCTCCAGTGGTCCAATTAATTGTGGAGCGGATGATCGATCAGTATTGCAGCTCTAGTAGTTTGTCTTGTTTAGCTCAACCACATTCATCTGGTTCCTGTCATGCATACACAAAAACTGGGATGAGAGAGGAGTTACTGAACTGTGACAAATAACCGAAGATATATATCTCTATATTCAACAAAACTAAGAGTTTCATATGTATACAGACTGAGTAACTTGTAATGTGTCATTAAGTTATTGTGAAGCGAGATAAGCATAGCAATCAGCAAACACTATAAATGTATATGCACATATACATCATTGGAGCCGTTTGAAAATGATAGAAATATTTCATCACTAGATTACACGTTATCTGCCAAGTTAGAATAGAGAAATTAGCAAGGCTTGTCCAGCATTAGCTGGAATCAATACTGTGACAAACATCTTTGTCCCTACAAACAATGGGATGAATCTAGACAATGCGCAGAAATGACACTTGAAAGGCTTAAACCCTCAGAAATCCTTCTTGCTTTCAACAAGATGGAGCACAGAACTGATATAAACTGTGCTAAACTATCCTGAGAAGAAGTGTTTGCTAAAGTTGACAACATCATTCCTAGTTTAATTTGACCAAGTCTGTAGTATAACTATTTTTTAGCTTAGTTGTTAGTTTGATATTTTATTAGTATGTGGGTGTTCTATTATTTTCTAAAGTAGCAGATAGCTTTCCCTAAAGTTTAGGAGAGATAGGTTAGTGGATTTAGTTAGTGGTTTAGTGGGATTGTGACTCTATTAAAGTTGTAATTCTATATAAGATCATTAACTTGACTGAATACAAGATCAGTCCATTGTTCTTTTTCTCTGGAAATTATTTTCTCAGACTCCTCCAGTTATATTTTATTTGAGCTTATTGTATCTTAAGTTCTTCAGTGCTTGCCATGCTTTGTGACAGATGTTGGCTACTTGTGAATCACAGAAATGCAGCTAATTGACTGAAACATGCACTAGAAACATTCAGCTCTTAATTCTTATTCAGGTCAGGAACAGTTTATCTTCTTTTGACTTCCCATCGCGTGTACTTGTGCACTCCCCTTGAGCTTGTAATTTGGTATTCCAGATGTTAACAAGTTTCATTTTCACACTTGGCCTGATGAGAGAAACACCAGGTCGTGAGAGTTACTAACATATTTGATTGAGATAATATCAGCAAGACACCTAACCCTCCGAAGAAATTTGATAACATTACCTTTCGACAGAGAATAAACCGTCACCACACTGTAATGTTCAACGAAGATAAATGCTAGAATCAAACAAAGTGTAGAAAAGATAACTTATCACATCCCTTTATCCATGCTTGTATACTTCCACTGTGTAAACATCAGGACCTGAGATGTATCCTGAAAGCTTGAATGAACGATTGCTTGCACTCAATTTGTTAAGGGAACTTAGATGAATCCCAAACCCACTGGACAATAGTGGCAACGGAGCACCTGTGCAAAGCAGGTCATCCTCACTGCATGCAAATAAACAAAATCTAAAAAACCAGACGGGAAATATCATTGAGTTAACTGGTGTATCAAATATGGACCTTTCAATATCAACAATTTTGAAGGAGACACTAGGATGCACAAGGGCGATTCTCAGCAGAAACTCTTTCAGAGAATGCAAGACCTTGTTTGGGCTTCCGGATTATATATGCAAACCAAAAGATCAATAGTATAGCTTTAGAAGTGAAGTATGTAAATCAAATTTTTTTTACTTGCTTGTGTTTGAGGAAAACTAGAAAGGACTTGAAGTGCATTTGCTTCCTTCGAACTGGTGGTTGTAAAATACATCACAAACCCACCTGAAATGTCGTGCCAAGCAACAGTTCTTTAGCTTTACAGCAACATGTTTGATAGAACATCGAAGGATGAAAACAAACCAACACCCCTTAAGGCTGTGATGATGACAAATTAAGTTGTATAGAGTTGGGTCAGGAATTGGAGCTACCCTTATCTTGGCGAGGCAAACCGTTAAGGCATCTCTGTTTTGCAACCGAGGTCTGCAGCCATGGCGTTTGCTTTGTCTCCTTTTGCCTGGTTTTACAACAAATCTGAGCCTTAGGAGAAAGAATTGGCCGAAAGACGCTTGATACGGCACATCTTAGAGTACTCCACCGGGTTGATGCTCTTAACTGTCCCATTGACAATGTCCGATCAAATACCTAAATCAATTTTCCAGCCAATCTACTGTTCTTCCCATTATGTTGATATTCTTGCATCCATTAAAAAAGAAAGAAGGAAAATTCGAGAACTTGATATTGGCAGATTTTCTTGGTATTCTTGCACGCATTCTCTTTAACAAAAATTCAAAAACTTGTTGGATTTTTAAAGTTACCTTGGTATTCTTAGATGCATATTTTTAGGAAATCAAAGAAAATGTTGTTTTCAAGAATATATTGACATTTTACATCTTACATATTCAGGAAATTCAAGAAATCTTTTTTTTTAAAATTATGTTGTTAATCTTGCCATGTGTGTATAGGATGTTCAAGAATTTGTATTTATCTTGTATGAAATATTGGGTTTTTTAGGGGTGGTTACCTCCCTTCTCTAGTAAGCCCCGATCTTTTTTGAAGTTTTGCACTTATGCTTGTTTGCATTTTCGGTTTTGCAAGTAATTACTTGTGAACCCCTTTTTGTTAGATTAGCTCAGAATGAGGCAGCAGAGAGAATAATGAAATTTCTATTCAAGGGTGGTTTCCCTTCTCTATGCTTTGCCTATGATTCTTCCATTTTCAAAACAAACCAACAACTCTTAAAAAAGATAAGATACATAGATAGAGTACACTACAGTTTCTGGTTTTTTTTCCCAGTACTGGTTGTGGACTGTGATTTTCTTGAGCTGAGGTCGATTGGAAACAACCTCTCTAGTCCCCCACAAAGGACCGGGGTAAGGTCTATCTACCAATGCTAGCTTTTAATTATAGGATAAGGTTGTGATGATGACAAATGAAGTTGTATAGAGTTGGGTCAGGAAATGGAGCTACCCTTTCTTGGCGAGGCAACCCGGTAAGGCATCTCCGTTTTGCAACCGAGGTCTGCAGCCATGGCGGTTTCTTTGTTTCCTTTTGCCTGGTTTTATAACAAATCTGAGCCTCAGGAGAATGAATTGGCCGAAAGACGCTTGAAGTCTTGTGAATTCCCTTTTGTTAGGTTAGGCTAAGAAAGGCAAGAATGAGACAGTAGAGAGTATGGGATTTCTACATAGGTGTTTTATCTTTTGTTTCATCACTCTGTGACTGTTTGGCGGAGGAGTATATTCTTATGTCAAAATAAATGTGCGTCCCTTTTTACATTGTCAAGATTATGATCTTTTGCTTGATTCTACATAGTCAAGATTATGATCTTTTATTCGATTCTAGCAACGTTAAACTCATTGTCATGTTCATGCTGTAGATGACCGAATTCGTATGGAAGAACTGCCTGAGAAGGTAATGATTTTCTAAAAACTCATTGATGTGTTATTTCAACTTGGAGTCTGTAACTTAGTGAATTATGAGGTCCTATCTGGACAAAGGAGGACAACAACCTATCTTGATTCCGAGCAAGAATTGGTACATTTATGGTCATCTAATGTGAATTATAGAGTTTATCTTTGCCATGTGCCGCTTGGCTTGTGGGGAAGTCTTGAAACTCTTTATAATAGGTGACATTGATTGTGAGTCTTTGACCATGCCTTTGCAGGTCATCCCTGAAATTGGTTACCAATTATTACACAACTATGTTGGCCAAATTCAGAACTGGTGTTGGACCTGCAACATTCATCCGCAAGCATCAAGATCATTTACCAGGTAAGTTACGGATCTTTGTTTAGATTTTTATCACAATTAGTCTATGGAACTTGATAAAATTGCCATTTACCAGAAATCCGTTGCACTAATTTTTGCGGCATTCATTAAAGTTAAACCTATCTCTGAGCATGAAGTTGGTGTGGTTATAGCCCGTAGCAGGGACCTAAATCTGATTCACAAGCAGCCAACATCTGTCACACTTGTTGCAGTAATATTGTCTAATACTTGTCTCTGTCATATTATACATTGAAAAAGTTTAAGTACATGGAAACCTTTTGCAAATTAGTCTTAGAAGGGAAAGGTATTGTAGTTGTTAATACAGGATAAGGAAGTGACATCAACTGTTATGAAGATGAATTGAGATTAGGAATTCTTGGGAATAAAGCTACGCCTGTAGAGTATAAATACACAAGGGCTGGGAGAGATTACTCATCTACATTCTCGAATCTTTTACTATACTTTATAGCTTATTCACTTTAGCATTCCTATTCCTCCTTCTGATATATATGCCTGTCCTAGTGTGGAAAACAAAGCATGACAAGCACTTCTGCTCAGTCTAGTTATTCCATTCTGAGGTATCAATACAACAGTTCATATCAGTTCTGTGCTCCATCTTGTTTAAAGCAATAACGATTTTTGGGTTTAAGGCTTTCAAGTGTCGTTTGTGCGCACTGTCTCTTATGGTCCATTTTATGTTTTAATTGTGTTGATTATAGCGAGTGAATTATGAATTGTAACTTCTAAGGGGAGAACTTTTTTATTCCAGTACCATCAGTAACAAGACGATGCTAGAGGTTCTCTCTTTTTAAATTATAATAAGGCCGTGAAGCTCGGATAGCTTCCAACTTACTTTGGAAAATATTCATGACATCATTCATGTTTTAGGAAATACTCCACAAGCTAACAGGATTCACTTGTATGTGTTTCATAAGAAAATGGTTGTTTTCTTGCTAGTACAGGTTCCATGTATTTTGGGCGTTAACCTAACTGATGTGGATCTGTTAGAATTTCTTGAACAGGTAAGTCCTTCGACACTAATTAGCTCTCATATTCACTCCTTCAAGGTACTTGTTTACCCTTTTTACGTTTCAATACTCATTTATGATTTTACTAGGTATCGAATGAAAGTTGTGGAGTTGTTCTTGAAAGCCCCACTCGAACAGCTAGTAGTTTAATTATAAGAAGTTTTGATTTGTAGTATTTTGAATTAAGACACTTGATTGGACAGACTTTCGCCAATCTCCCTCAGTGGTCATTTTCCTTTACATGGTCTAGTCTTTTTGATTTTGGTTGTTTCTTAAAAGTTGAAATTGTGCTGTGTAAGAGAATGGGGAATTATATGTTTTCAGATTTTATTAATGTTTTGAGGATCAATAGAGGCGAGCTGCTGGGAATATGGCAAGTTGTGCTATTATGCAATTTTAATTGCTTAGACTAGTTGCACAAAAGGCAGTGACCGGTGAGGCTCTTCAATGAATTCTTATGTTCCTTCGTTTGCTACTTCTGATGTTGAGGGCATATGCTTTACATGAAAATTTGAAACTAATTTTTCTCCTATTAGTATGATGCTCCAATCTAGTATCATAATTTTTTTCCAAATGAATATTCTTATATCCGAACTCTTATTTCCTTTTTCCATGAGATTTACTTCCTTATAGGACTATTCTTTTTATGTTTGTTATTCTTTTAAGTTGTCTACTCTTAGTTTGAACTTTAACCTAGTTTCCACTTCCCATTCGGTATCAGTTATTATAGGCATTGGGACCTGCTATGTTAAGGTGGATGACAATGGTAAGTATTAGTTTCTTTGACATTGACTGATGCATTTTGATGTGCAAAAAGTTCTGCTCAATTTATTATTTTACTTCATCACCTGAAGTTGTGCTTTCTTTTGAAGGATTTGGTGTCTCCACGAGATGGACTGCTGATGGGGGAAAGATATGGCAATCTTTTTTTGCAAAATGTTGGACTGACATCTTCTTTTCTATTGTATTGATGCTGCTGTACATAATTTATTTTGCCTAACAAATATTATGTTCCTAACTTGGAATTGTTGTTGTAGTCTATAGGATATTTTGATCAAGTAGGCTGTTTGACAGTTTTTGTTCATTAATATCTTTTTACTGATGTTCTGTTATTTATTATTTTGTGGTTTTACTTGTAATTGGGAAAACTGGTATGGCTGTACACAACACAAAATATTGATGCTTACATTTTTGTGGTTTTACTTGTACTGCGTCCTAACTCCTAAGAGAGAGAGATGAAATATATTTTTTGTTGATCACTACTGTATGTAGAAATGTTCTGATTATTTTTTCTAGTTTAGTTGAGTTGAGTTGGAACATACATATTGGTGCTTAGGTACTTGTAGCCAGCTTAAGCAGACAGTTTATGTGCCTATTTCCTTCATCTTCTGTTATGCCTCCTTTTCGTCTGGCCATTTTAACTATGGTTTTGTATGCTTGCGTTACATTAGGGACATCGAAATGCTTCCATTCAGATGTTATGCATGCGTTCCCAGCAAACTTTGTCCTTAAAGGAGGAGAGGCTTTGAGCTCTATTTCTGACGTGTCTTGTAGGAATTTTTCACTAAAACTCACAGGAGGCCATCTGAATATCTTAGGGTTTTGAAGGTAAAGGTCTATCTACCAATGCTAGCTTTTAATCATAGGATAAGGCTGTGATGATGAAAAATGAAGTTGTATAGAGTTGGGTCAGGAAATGGTGTTACCCTTATCTTGACGAGGCAACCCAGCAAGGCATCTCCGTTTTGCAATCGAGGTCTGCAGCCATGGCGGTTGCTTTGTCTCCTTTTGACTGGTTTTATTACAAATCTGAGCCTCAGGAGAAAGAATTGGCCGAAAGACACTTGAAGTCTTGTGAATCCCCTTTTGTTAGATTAGCCTATAAAAGGCAAGAATGAGGCAGCAGAGAGTTTCTGGGTTTCTTTTCATTTTTGCACCCTTGAACGTATGCTCATAAGGCAATATCCACAACTATACAACAACAACATGACTATGAAAATTAATGAAGAGGCAGTGATGATTTCTGGGCTTACTAAATTTGGGCATTGAGATTACTCAACCTGTATCTTGACGGGGCAACCCAGTATGGCCTGTAATTGAGAAGCATAAATCACACATGCAATCGTGTGTTGCAGCCATGGTGTGGTTGGATTCTCTTTGGCCTTATCGTAACACAAATCTGAGCCTCAATTTGCTAAAAAAAGGAAATAGGGTCAAATTTACCCCTTTACTATGCATAAGGGGCAATATCTTTTCCATGATTAATGTGTAGATATTGAACCCATGCCCTTCTGATTTGCAGTTTGAATGCTTTTCATCCGCAATGGACCTTAGAACCTTTTTGCGCTTTTCACCTTTGATAACAGCTGAAGTTGAGCTGGAACATATATATATTGGTGCTTTGGCACTTCTACCCAGCTTCTGGCGACAATATGTGCTTGTTTCTTTCATCTTTTGTTATGCTTTCTTTTTGTCTGGCCATTTTAACTATAGTTTTGTATGCTTCCTTACATCAGCGGCATCAAAATACAGCCATTCAGATGATATGCATGCTTTCCCAGCAAGTTTTGGCTTTAAAGGAGAGGCTCTGAGCTCTGTTTCTGACGTTTCTTTGTTGGAAATTGTTAGTAAAACTCATGTGAGGCGACATGGATATCGTAAGGTTTTGGCGGTAAAGCTCTTTTGAGATTTAGTTGGTAGTATCTATTAGGATAGGTATAAACCTACTAACTTGGTCTTTGTTCTTAGCACTCTGTTTACAGGACGACGAGTGTTTGTACCTTGGAATTGATGATTGTAGACAAAATGTTTGTACAACAGGAAATTCTGTATAAACCTACCTGATACATGAGTAGACTGATGTTTACTAATAAGTAAATTTCTTGGGATTTTTCTTTTGCGGTCATTGTTCGTGATGTATTTTACCACCAACCATTTCGAAAGAACCAAATGCACTCCAAGTACTTCTAGTTTTCTCACAATTCAAACAAATGAAAAATATTGGTTTACATACTTTACTTCTAAAGTTGTACTCTGTCGATTGATCTTTTGGTTTGCATATATAATATGCGGACGCCCAAAGAGGGTCTTGCATTCTCTGAAAGAGTCTGTGCTAAGAATCGCCCTTGTGCATTCCAGTGTCTCCTTCAAAATTGTTGATATTGAAAAGTCTGTCTTTGTTATATCAGCTATATTTCCTGTCTGGTTTATTAGATTTTGTTCATTATCATGCAATGAAGATGACCTGCTTTGCACACGTGCTTCTCCTTCTCCGTTGCCGCTACTGTCCAGTGGGTTTGGGTTACATCTGAGTTCCCTTAACAAATTGAATGCAAACGATGGTTCATTCAAGCTCTCGGGATACATCTCAGGTCCTGATGTTTACACAGTGAAGGTATAGAGGCACAAATTGATGGATAAGAGATGTTATAAGTTATCGTTTCTACACTTTGTTTCCCTAACAACCACTGGTTAATTTGCAGGTCCTTCAATATTTCTGTAGCCACTTATTTCAGTATATTTTCTTGAACAATTAATCTTTGCTTAACATTTACTATATCGAATGCTTGTTTTTAACGGTTTTCTTGTTTTCCTTGACCCTCTAATGCAGATATCAATCCAAGATTTGTTTTCAAAGGACCAATAAATAAATTACTTAATAACACAGCGATGAGTTTTGACAGTCTTCTGACATTGAGCTACGAATTAGATCTCAGATATATCCACTTCTTTTGTTGAACCTAAGCTGCCCAAGATCTTTATATGATTCGACTTTCGTGCCTTCAACGACCTCTCTGTGGAATTCGAGGTGAGATTTTCTGTTATTTACTTGTTTTGGGGGTTGGGAAACGAACTTGAATCTTTGGATTTATTTTTATTGTATTGGGGTTTGTTTTGTGAGAATTGGTTTGGGTTGTTTTTTGTAAAACATATATCATAACACCTAATCTTTTTTTGAAACTTCAATGTGGGTGAAATAAATAGGTTAAAAGACTGGCTTAAAATCTTTATTTATTACTAATCGTATAGGACTTCAAAGTATTTGATATAGTACCCCCTGGCAGGCAAGGCCCTTGCGTCATAGCTGTTCCCGGAGAACAAAATACTTCCCCATTTATTACAGGTGAACAATGCAAAACCACGTTTCTAACTTCTTTTGGTTGCAAAACTAAATCGGCCAATGTTAAAAGGACATGCCATACGTATTTGTGTTACTGATTGGAGTGTTGTATTTCTTATTGCAATGCGTTCGCTGCTTCTTAGACTGACCATTCTTCCGGTCTACTGGTTTTTGCTTACCCAATCATTTCGCTTCCCTTTAAATTGATTTTGCAGTTTTTTTTTTCAAAATGTACGCCAATTTTTCATAGATCTAGATTTTTGTTACATCAATCTTCTTGGAGCTTTGCTATCTTTAGGAGATGGTGACATCCAGATGTATATTAATTTTTTGATTTCTGACCAAGTACTTTTTGAAATGATATGATTCTTTGTTGTTTCTCTCTGATTTTAATAGAAATTTATTGCATACATCGGTAATGCTTGTTAATAAGTTTGTGATGGGAGAATAATTATAGCTGGCAGATCAATAGAAGATGCCTCATTTAGGTAGTCTCTTGATCCTGATGACAGTTCGAATGTGATGCATGAGAGAAGGAAAACATTTACCCGGAGCTGTTCTTTGCACAGAAGCCTGATATATGATGGATCATTTTGATAGTTATTATAGTGTTGGATTTGAAGTAGCTGATGATCTTAACCAGGTCTTAAATCAAAGGTATCCTAGAGGCAAGAAATATATTTTGAGAACTTCTCCAGGTGCAAAACTCAGAGCAAGGCATTGCAAAGGTCAATTTTTTTGTCACCAGATTCAGAAAAATGGGATTGAAACTTCTGTTAAACATGAAGTTGTTGTTACTATAGTTTGGAACATATTCTCTTGGTCCTTGCCATAAATAATTTGGAAAAAGAGGACTGCTTGTTCCCAAATCCTGCAAAGTTTGACCTCAAATTTTATGATCCTTCTAGAGAGAATATGGCCAGTATAGGGGGAATTGATCGTAGTTCAGGTCCTTCTGAATACCATTATGATTGAAATGATTTGACACATGCATTTTCATGGTGAAGAAAATCTTAATAATTACTTGACACCCCGAGCTATGCTCTCTGCTAGGAGGGTGGATGGGAACTCGCATAAATGGATTGATGAGTTTGTAAGGAGGAATAGTAGAGGAAGTCCTTCAGCTCCTCTATTATACCAAAGCAAGAAGTTCTTTGCCACGAGCGAGTCTTCAAGAACGGTAGCAGGAAATAACAATATTAAGACTGTTCATGATATGCCACTTGTGCCAGGTAATTTGTCCTTGAGTGCTCGTCTGTTTTAATAATCAATGATGACAGAAAATCTATTCAACTAATTAAATGTTCTTGTCCATCGTGCAGAAACAAGAGCTGTATATGAAACCTTTAAACAAATCTGGAAAAGCACATTGAAAAAAACAAAAAGCGGCACTAACAGAAACAGCATGGGAATTCATTGGAAAAGACCAGCTTATAATGTTCATTATTCAAAAACATATCCCTCTTTTACTTTCTCAAGGGCGAAAAATCATAAATTACAACAGATTTTTATCGACATATTCCCAGGAGAAGAATCACTGTTTAGTTTTTTAACACCTCCATGTTCATTTACAATGCTAGAAATCACTATAAGAAACCAAGTCCCATCATATATTTATAGGCATCTGGTGGAACAGTATAATATTCGCGCAATAACTCACTGGTCATGTATTCCATCAAGTGTATTCCCCCCTAATCCAGTCTTCTCAGAAGATACTCAACTTGAACTTCCTTTGTCAATGGCATGATCCAGTCCCCATACAGTTCGGCAACTAGGGATGGTTTTATTTTGTACACGGGATCACCTACATTTTCCGGTCCATTGTTCAGTTCCTGTCCATAAGTTTTGGTTTTCATTTCTACTCTATTTTTGATAGCCTCTTCAACAGTAGGGTAGGTTAGTAAATCCATCAGTCCGTTTCTGTCCTGGAGAATGATAGCCATCACAAAATATCAAATATAAGTGCTCTTGCGTATCTTTAACACGAATTCACGAAGCACAGAAATTAAGCCGAATTCACTCTCTTCAGCAAAAAAAATAAAATTAAGCAATTTCCTTAGACAAAAGTGGACGTATCAGGAAATGGATTACCTGTGCTTTTATAGCAGCCTTATAGACATCTGGTGAAGCTCGAAATTTTGCTTCGGCAACAAATTTTCCGTAATGAATTCTCTTTGACAAGGCCTGCATATAATTATAAGGTACATTGAGTACACCTGCAAACTCTCAAGGCAGTGGATAGAAGAATGCTTTCAGATAAGAACACCGGTAGGGAATCTCAAGGCAATTTCTTGGTGTCGTTTTCTTTCTAATCTATCGTATCCAGTTACCAACGGAAATTCTGAAATCAGCATATTAGATATGTCGCTACATAACAGCTCCTAAATCACTAGCGTTAATGTAATTTGAATGTCAATTTCACACTAACGAAGGCAAAAGCAGTCTAGAGGGCACAAATCAGAAACAAAAATTTCCAAAATCATTTAATTAGCTGTCATCCTTCCCAACAATAGATCGTACGAAATCCTATACATATCTATTACCTCAGTATCATATAATACCGGCTGATACTCCTGCACAGTAGGTGCGGACTAAGTCCGCTGTTCGTCTATGATTCTTCTTGTTCAAATTAATTTTTTCCCAGCACAAACATTTTGCAATGTTAGGTCTGGACCAGCTTTCGTGCACCTCAACTAATTCCACGGAATACCTGCCACCTCCCACCAGTAACAAGTACCGGGTAACTCTGTCCACCAAGGCTAAGGATAGACGGGAAGAATCAAGAATCACCTATTTTTTGTCTCCGCTGAGAATTGAACCGAAGACTTCATGGTTCTCAACCACTTCATTAACCACTAGGTCACACCCTTGGGAGCTGCTCGGCTGGTCTTTCTCCTTTCAAGCGAAAACTTACACTGCTACCAATATCAGTCATTCTTATAGGCCTTCTCTAATTCTCGGTCTAAATTTTAAAGATAGCAACATTACTTTTTGTATTGTAAATTGTAATATATGTACAACTATTAATAGTACTGGAAAGAATTATGATTACCTTTTTATGTAAGATACTGTTAGTCACCCATTCCCTCCCCCCCCCCCCCCCCCCCCCTCCCCCCCCTCCCACC